CAAAAAAGCTTTAGAGTGGTCTGGGAAATTCATTTCAGAGAGGGACAATGAAGGCGGAAACAGGGGGAAATTTTTAGCGTTGAAGTTGCGGAAAAATTCGAGAAAAAGGGGAAGCTTGGAATGAGAGCCTACGTATTTACTCCTTTCCTAAACGAAGAGGGAGAGGATGGAGGAAACTTGGGTGGGGCAAGACGGGGAGGGGGGGCAGGGGGAGGTGACACAGGAAAATTCCACGCATTACCCGATGAAGATGTGCTGTTACCGCCGTCTTCAAAGCGGCAACACATAATCGGCAACAGCAGTAGAGAACAAACTTTGCTGGAACAAAGACGGTGTTAAAGTGAAAAATAATTGAGGTATACGTATTTTTTACCTGTCGGACGGTCTGTCAGACGAGTGCTGTTTATGCATTTTATTGTTATTGACCATAATGCAGCGGATCCACGAGTGCTAACTTGACTGACAGCAAGCTAGGCTCACCAAAAAAAAGCCGGTATGTTTAAATAAAGGAAGAGGAGTAGAGAGAAAGGAGAAGAGTACCAAAAGGAAGCGTACAACTCAGGATAAATGGACTTGGCACAACTGTGCCCCCTTTTATAGGTCAAGCGGTTACTACTAACTATTTAGACATAGCTTAACACTGAGAAAAAGCTTAGTAGCTCAACGCTGCCCAGGCAGACATGGACGGTGATTTTTGGTGGGGGAGGATGAGACGCGATGGATGAGGGGTTACTGTATCAGGACGCAGGGATTACTGTAGCTGTTTTAAGAATGACTATAACAGCTTTTATTTTTAAGCTTTTCTTAAATACAAGAGAATATTGATGCTTATTTGCATCTTGTTTAAATGACAACACTTGAATTATCGATGATAATACTGATTTTTTTGCAGGATGTTTCTGGGTGGCATAGACCTGAGCATGGAAGATTATGACGGTCGTACACCACTGCATCTTGCCGCATCCGAGGGACATTCCGATCTGGTCGATTTCTTCCTTGGTATGGCACATGTCAATCCATTAGTTAAGGACAGGTCAGTTGTTAAAATGCGATTTTTTTAAATTAATTTTTTGTGTTAAAAATAATGCAGACGGCGAGGGAAAGGAAGTATGTGGAAAAACGCTCTCAGTTCTGACAAAAGCATTGTTTTGAAAGTAACGACGTACGGATGCGAAGCGCAGTCAATAATGAAAATGGCAGAGAAAATACTGATTATATACTGAGCGGCTGCTTTAAAATTCAGTTAAAACACCAAAAATTTTTTGGACCCTAATCAGCTATCAAGCTTGCCTCAGTAACATCACTAACATAGAATTTTTATATCGAATGTTCAAATGTTTTTGATATTCTTCACAGTATAGCAAGCTGCATGGAAATCACGAAAATCTGAGGCGGTAGCCCAACTGATATTAAAAGATTATAGCAGCACAAAACACGTGTTTTGTGTATGCCTTTCGCTGTTTTCTGTAATAATTTTATCAGTCAGTTAAAAAAATTTGTTACATTAGGAACATTCAAATTCTTGTTATTCTAGATGGAATAGGACAGCTTATGACGAAGCGGTAACGTTCGGCTTCACCCATATTGCCGAGAAAATCAAAGTTGCAATGGATCGTGTTGAAAATGGATTTGTGCCAATGTTAGTTCAAAAAATGTGCATTGCAAAATTTTAAATTTATCCCACTCACTTTTACAAGGAAAAAAATCCTTTGTTAAGCATTATATTGCAGAAGCATTTCACCGGAAGCAGCACGGAATTTGCTGCAAGAAAAAGAAGACATGCCGAATAATCATCCAGAAGAATCAGATGACTGGGAAAAAGGTTTGTTTTTTTTTGTTCCAGATTTTCTTACCCAGCGTGTCACTTCGTCAAGTTGAAATGTTAAAGTGGCTTTCGTCTCCCGTCTTAACATTCGAATTCGCACTGGGACATAAGTACATGACATAGGTTTCCACGCTCCACCAACCCTGGCAAAGTACCCATTGTTTTGAGGGGGCTTTTTTGCCTTCTCCCGTTTTTCTCTTCCCTCCCGTCCTCCCTCCTTCATCTCAACCGTTATGCAGGATCAAGCCCGACGACTTTCTGTCCATCGAGGTGCTGAAGGTGATCCAGCATCAACTTACCACTTGAACGGATTAACGAATCCTTGAGGGGTTGATTTTCCCGCAGGCCAACTTGTAGTCTAAATCTAAGATTAGGAACACTAATACAACTCGGATAATCCATGGTTATTCCGTGTTGGTACGTTACTGGATTGATAACGTGTAATCGGCAAAATCTAGGATAACCGTTCAAGGATACTCAATGTATCATTCTCTATTACTTAATCATCTAAGC